ATATCAATGCACATTACCTGTGATACTGCACAGTCCTGAGCTCAGTTCACAGCTGTGAATTCAATTCTTTAATAGCAGATTGATAAAAACTATTCAGGAATCCGGAGGTGCGGCTCTTAATAGACCTGTAGCGCAAAAACTATCAAAGTCTGATAAAAGTCCTGCAATGAATGCTACCTTCAACCCTCACAATTTGTTTGAAAGGACATGTCTCTAGCCCATTCAAATCAGTAATGCAGTTCAGCAGCACCACATAAATGTAGCCTCCAAAAAGATCAGTCGGTTGAATCAATACTTCTCTACACCATCTGAACAAAAACAAAACTTTATAACCCCTTTGAAGGTAGGATTTTATTGCAGGACCTTTGTCTTAGAGTGCATTACTTATAGTTGGATGTAATGCAACTGAGGGTGTGTTGCCAGGAGTAGAGCAGCAGTGACCTCCCGGGCTACCAAACAGGACCATTTGTGTTGCACTGAACATCTGAACTTTACTTTAGCTTTGCTGGGTTGAAAATCATGATTATGATTTCAGGGAGATTTCTGAGAGAAACTGCTGTCCTCCACATCATCAAAACACATTTGGAAGTATTCCCATCTCAAAGTCGACTGCCCACCCTGTCCACAAAGACAGAGCTATTTCTGCTTCATCTTCCTGCAGTGACGGGCATTCATGTGTTCTCTATGAAAGAACAATGTCTCCTCTGTGCTTGTCTCTGCTTCTGTCTCATTACCAGCTATATTAACTTATCCGTCACCTTTGACCTCCGCCTCCTGACTTGACAGAGGAAGTGGAGACAAATTATAGAACACTGTGCTTTCAATCAGCACAGGAAGCCCCCTCTTCAACTCCATAATCAGTTATATCTAATTTCCTTTAATTAATCTTCAAAATCTGCAAGATTGGGTCACATGGCAGGCCAGCAGGGACCAGATTCAACATCTGGTGGTGTTCTCACGTTTTCTTTTTTTTTTCTTCATATCTTACATGTAACATTGTTCTTATTTATTAATAACGAATAAAGCTTTGGCTGAGGTAGAGGTGTTTGATGTAAAAGCTTCCTCAGCTGTCACACTGTCTCTGAACCATTCACTGTTTCCCTCAAGTCTTCATTCAGTATTCATAAAACATCTCCTCTCATTCTCTCATTTGACTAGACGTCCTCCGTTCAGATGAATGCAACTGGATGTATGACTAAATGCATTATGTACCTTTTTAGCTAATCTCATGTTCTTTACAGATTTCTTTACAGATTAACTCAGACCTGCACAGTAGTATACATAATTTACATGAATAATAATAATGAATAATATACACGACATTCCTCCACTACATTACATGGATCCCATTTTCCTTTTTAAGGGCTAGTTCATCCATAATACAAAAAAGTATCGTCTCACACATAAGTAGCTTTGCTGGTATCACACTGATAGCCTTCATCTATCTGTTAGTTAGAGTTACAGAGAAACTACTGGACCAATTTCCATCAAACTTATAGAAACAATGAGGCATGGGTCAGGGAAGAACTCATTACATTTTGGTGCAGATCTGGATGAGCAGAAAGATTCAGGATTCTTTCTATTTCCCACATTTTCAGTGATTCCTCAGAACATATTCATGGATCTTGATGAAATGTATGTGTGTGCACTTTGGTTAAAACCTGCATCTTGATAGTATGCACTCTTCTGAGTGCCATTCTTGTTTAAATGTGAAATACACTTGTTAGAAACGTTTGACTCTTGTGGACTCATCAGACTGTAAACAGTGTACGGCTAATGGAAGACAGTCTTGGCCCAGAATCCGCTGTCAACACAGGAAGCCTCAAGACGATAACCGATGGGCCCGGTCCAACATGCAAATGTACCCCCTCTTCATTTTCAATCTGACCAAGGGGATAATTAAACATTTGCGTACTGTGTCGAGGGCATATCGCAGTATGTCTTTGTGTGGACTTCCACTTTGGTAAACTTTGACCCTCGTTATTTGCTTTACATTCGCGAATGTGTGACTGGGACCCTCAGGTACACTTTGTAAAGAGCAAGCTGATAGTTGAGAAGATTTTAAACCTCATGAGACTTTGTGAAGGAACCCTGTTGCTGCTGTAGAGCTGACAGAATTAGACAAAGTAAAAACAGTGCAATTTGTGCAAACCCTGTGCATTTTCCTACTGTGCAAGAATAAATACCTGCTATAGCCTCTGAATATCCTGGTGAGTTTGCAAACCTACTTCAGGTATTTACTGAGAGCTTTCAAGACATGTAAACAAAAGGAAAATAACATGTTTTCTACACTATGTAATGTGGAATCAGCTGATGTGCCTGACACGCGTTACAACACAAAATCATTAAGCTGCAAAGCAAAAGAACTCAAAGCTCAGTACAACAAACTCCCTCTGCTCAACATCTATCAGCTCTGTGTATGTCCACTATGTAATGCTGATGTTTATGTGTAATTTCTGCTAATGGTTAAAGTGCTGCTTTCTCTGCATTTCTGCTGTTATTGGAATGGCTGCTGAAAAGAGGCTTTATGTTTCCCTGTGCCTCTAAATAATGGGGACAAGGCAAAAACAGACAGACAAAAATAGCTTTTTTGAATTTGAAAAGTTGCGTGTTACTGTTATATTCGGAAGCAGTTATTATTTTCCATATTATATGCAAATTGTGTTTACACAATGGTACAACTGTCTTCTTCAGTGGAAGCCACTGGAGCTGATCCTAGAAAGTGTACATGCCAAAGATACATCTCAAAAGTCACGATGAAACATTACATCCTCATTACAAATAAAACATCACTCATTTATCTGACAACATGGGATTTATTCCCATCAAATACCTTTTCCTCATCCATCGATTATCAATACTGCTTACCTTTGAGGGTTGTGTATGTGTGTGGGTGTGTGTGTGTTGGGGGGGGGGGGAAGGGGTACACAAAGAACCATTCACTCTCACATAAGTGATCAGTCAATTTAGAGTCCCCAACTGACCTAACACCAATCTAGTATTTGGACTGTTGGAGGAAGCCGGAGCATAAACAGAGAGAGCACAGGTTTGCTCCCTGAAATATTTATGTCTTTTAAGCATGTTTAAAATTCTTGAGTTTTAGACTTGTCTCGTCGAGTCATTAAAAGTGCACAGGTGTAAACACGGTAATGCGTGTGGAGCCAGCAACACATTCACAAGGCTTTCCTCCTCCTCCTGTACACTAACGGTAATGGTGTGGTAGCAGTGGACCTAACCTACTTACAGAGAGAGAATCTACGCTGAAACATCCTTGTTGACATGTTTGAAGATGCCCAGGGCAACACAAGCTGCCGCTATGTGCATTTCATTACAGAGAGCAAACCCATTTCCAAATCCTGTTAGGACAGTCAGAGGGATGCTGAGGGTTTGTTAACATGACCGAGGGATTTCATATAAGTTCATGACTTCTGTGAGGAGACCTGTGTGAGTGTGATCTAGGTATTACTAATGTTGTGGGGACTTAAATATGTCTACATTGTCAAATTATGTCTTTATAGGGACTAAAAGCAAGTCTCTGTATTTTAAATCATAAAAGGCAAAGACATGTTTTGAGTTTAGGGTAAGGTCATGGTTAGGCAGGTAGTTATGATTATATTAAGTAAGGAAATAAAAATGTGTCAACATGATATTCACATAAGGCAAGGAGACATCTGTGTGTGTGTTTGTGTGAACATACTTAATTTTAAGGATGGAACTAACATTAATGACACATACTAAAGTGATTGTGAAATTCAGTGAAAAAGAGATTATAGTAATAAGACACAATGGAGATATTCAAACTCAACAGCACATTTATTGATAATGATGATCGATTGGTCCTGAGAAAGATGTTGACATGGATCTAGATCATAGATCGAGACCATAACTCATGGACTGTGATAGTGATAGTGGATCATGGTGGCAGCTGATCATGGACAATGATTACAGCGAGATATACAATATAGCCCACTCACAAATCCTACCGTTATTGACAATACCTCTATCATTATGAATTGCCATGACTGCTCCCTTTATCCATTAGACTTTTTTCTTTTGTATCAACACTTTAAACATTGATACAGCTTTCCATGTATGTGAGACTGTCTTTTCTCATCAATGTTGTAAATACTGTTATTTTGTTGAAGTAGTCCGTTACATAGGGCATCTATTGCGCCTCTGTCCATCCTTGGAGAGGGATCCCTCACACGTGGCTCTCTCTGAGGTTTCTGAGTTTTTTTCCCCGTTGATGGGTTTTATTTTGGTAGTTTTTCTTTCTCTTGCTGAAGGTTAAGGACTGAGGGTGTCATAGCTTGTTAAGCCCAAAGAGCCAAACTGTGAATTGTGAAAATGTGCTATACAAAAATAAAATTTGATTGATGGATGTTTCCCCCTCTATAGACAAAGCTTCTGTCAGATCAGTTGTATAACAACAGTTGAAATATAAAGCTTCAGTAATATATCTATATCTTTTTTGATCTATGAACACAACACAGGGCTGTCAGCATCAGATATCGATGTAAACATGCACTACACTGAGAAAGGAAAACACTTAAGCCACTTCAAATATTACTTTACTTCTGGAGCCACCTTCACACGCACACAATGGAAACACTGCACACAAGCTCTCACCCAAGGACACACGTGGGGGTATGTGTAGCATCGCTAGCTCCGGTAGCATTGTTACTTCCGGTAGCAGACATTTAGGCTGAAAACATTGTGTAAGAGACGCCGTTTAGATAATTTGAATGTCGGGCTTACTGACACCACAGGAGTGGTATGGAGGCATTTAAAAAAATGTTGTGTTGTTTTCTGTTTATGTTGGCTGCAACAATGTTTACCCCTCAAACTCAAAAGTGTTTTGTGGACTCAAAAATTTCACCCGCCCTTCAGTTGGCATAGTGGTGAGTTGATAATGATATAATTTTCATTTATATATATATATATATTCATTAGTTCATTGGATTAGGGGTTAGTGAATGTCTGCTTGTGTTGTTTCAGCCATGGAGAGCCATCACATCCATGTGGACAAAGAGGCTCTTAAGAGAATGTCAGACCTGTTGGGGGTAAGTGGATCATCACTGCAGAGAAACACTCCTGATTTATAATTTCATGTATTTTCAGTGTTATTAATAATCAGAGCAGAAAAACTTAGATTGAAAGGTGATATTTTTTCCACATGGCTGCTGGCAGAGGGGACAAACTTATCTACTGCAACCAGGAGTTATAAGCATTTGCTTTGTTGTTAATGTTGATTTCCCACCAGAACACAACAATGAACCAGGAGAAGTGTTCACTAATACACATTCTGCACAGTGTGATTGCAGATAGGCAAGTTATTTGATTTACCTCTAATTCACTTGCCTTGTTTTAAGTAAAACACTGCACCAGCACAGGACTGAGACAAAACTAGTAGACTGCTCTTGCTAGTGTTCATAAGCAAATCATCTATTTATGTAAGAAAAAGCTTTTATAAAAAATATGGAGGCATAAACAGATCTTTAGTCAGAATATTCTAAATTAAGAAAGCAGAGAGGTTTTCTAAAAGTGGAAGCCTTTTTAGGTCAGAAACAAAGTATATGATGAACCAATGAATCTCCACCTCCTCCCTCTATCCACAAATCAAACCAAAATATCCAGGATACAAACCCTGCCATCTTGTGCATTATGTAGCGATCAGGGGATGAGGCAGCGCTATCCAGGTCTACAGCTGACAGTCATTTACTAAAAACAGCAAATTAACCAGAATCTTAAATCCTACGCGAAGTAAAACCTTTGTTGTGTTTATGTCAAACAGACTTAATGAAAAGCTTCCTTGAGACGCTTACTTTTTGCTGGCCTGCGCATAATTATGATGTTCAGGGTGAGCTCAGATTTGTCCTGCATCTTTTCCGAACATTTTATCTTGGCTGCTGGAAACATGGTGCATTAGGCAGCTGCTGTGTTAATGCAGATGGGAGCAAAACAGAGGGAGGATGTGGAAAAACAGAAGAGACGGCGGGAGAAGGAAAGGAAAACAGAATTTTTCCTTTCTCCTTCTTGTTGGTAGAATTAGTGATGAGGTGGGTGGATGTCCTCCGGGGACGTGTCCTGTTTACTTACAGATAAAAGAGACGAGTGATCATATTCACATACAGATGTTATGCACACATATTACTTTATACTTATACATACATACATTATACTTATAGACAAACGCACTCACAACTCTTGCATAGGACAGCAGAGTGTCATGGTGGAGAGAGAGTGTGCTGGTGTCTTGTTGTGTTGCTATAAATAGGAAGGAGAGTCTGTCTCTTTCCTTTAAGAGGCTGTGCCGCAGGAAGGAGCATCGCTGTCTGCCTCTGCCAACACACACACCGAGGCACTGAAGTTTTTGCAGTCTGCTGCAGAGCTCGGTGTGTGTCTGTGTGTATGCATGCATGTGTGCTTGTGTTTTTGTAATGTGGGCCTGTTGGCGCAGACATGCTCGTCCCCACTCTGTCTTGTTGGTTTTCGTTTTATCTGAGCTGTCAAGTTCACGTGTCTGAGACAAAGCAGATGATCCCTCCTGTCTGCCACGCTGCATCTTACACGCTCATCAAAACCATTTTCAAAAGTCAGTCGCACAGACGTCAATTAATAAAACACTCTTTCACCTTCTCTGTGTGTTTTTCAGACGTCGTTATCCAGATTAGATGAGATTCAGATCCTTCTGTGAACATGTCAGAAGAAAAATAACACGATCAATTTCAACACCTTTGATGCATTTGATCAAGTAATGATCCAAAATATTGGCTTTCACTATTAATCGATTAGTGGATACACCTTTTTTTACCTTGATTGATGCGTCACTAAAAAAGAAATGATGGTGCGACCTGAAGGTTTGGACCCAGATATGACAAACGTGACGTCACACAGCAGAGGTTGTTCTTGTACGAATTTTCAAAAGGACCAAATAAAATCATAAAAAAAACATCTATCCATCCATCTAGTCTCCTGCCTTACCTGCTCTCTGTGTGTGTCTGTGTATATGTGTGTGTGGTTGTTCCTTACACTCACTTCTAAGGGGCGAGCATTCAATATAGATGAGGCAGTCTGGAGCCTGCTCTGGGCAGAAAGTAAGAGACAGAGAAAGAACATATTTTGGCATTGGTCTTCCAGCTCCTTGACTTTTTCCCCTTTCTCTCCTTCTCTGTCTCTTTCTATCAGTCCCACTGGTTATCTTTCTCTCTCCGCCCTCCTCTCCCTCACTGCTCTTTCATTGTGTCGGCCACTGTCCATCTCTGCCTGTCAAGTTGTCAAGTTCTGTCACTCGAATTGTCTCTCTAGATCTGACTTGTGTCTGTTTGTTGCAAAGGACATTTTTCTCTCTTGGTCCAACCCCTCTCCTCTGCTGCTCGCTCCTCTCCTCGATTTCTCTCGGTCCCTGGTTTTTCCTCTCTCCTCCTTTTTCCCCTCTTCTCACAGCACTATTTGTATCATATTACAACTAACAACATTTCCTTTAAAAGAAATGTCTCTGTCCCTCTTACGTTTCCCCCACTCAGTCACTCTGTTCCTCTTTCTTTCTGTTGTCTCTTATTTCATCACCTAAACTTCTCTTCTCCTTTTTGTTTGTCTGTTCTTGTCCACGTTTCTCTCCTCTCTTGTTCTCTTGGTTGCTTGTCAAGTTATTAAAAAAGTTTGTTTTTACTTCAGCCAGACTTGTAATGAGCTGCTGGTTGTCTGGGTGTTAACCAACTCATAAAAGCAATTAGAGAAACTGTTGGGATGAAAATCATTTGAGCAGGAATCCATTTAATTGTCACTTATTCTCTTTTCCAATTGTTATTTTTTTCATCTTCTTTATTTGCTTTTCATCATTATCTCTGGGACTTATTTAGCTTTCAGCATTTTATCAGGTGCCTCTGTCCTTCACTCTCTCTCCTATCAGTTCCTTTCCTTGCTTCTTTTTTCATATGAAAAGTTTATATCTTTTCATACTTCCTCTTCCCTTCTCTGTCTTACAACCCTATCTCTTCCATTTTTTCTCTGCCTTTCTCTGTGCTTCTGTGATAATGTGAAGTCTGTATTTCTATGCTGTTGTATATTTATATGTATGTATACGTATGTTTTTCATAAAGTGTGTATGAGTGTCTGACAATTTTTTCTAATGGGATTTTAAGCTTAAAATTTAAGTTTTGCCTTTGGCCACTGCAACAACAGAGAAATGAGAAAGTTCTGTTTTAGTTCTCTTCTCAAATTGACTCCACAGCTTTACTGCAGGGTTCATACCTCATACTTGGTGTGAGCCCCCAAGATGTTTATATATTTTACTCTTAATCCAAGCTCATGTTTGACTTTGACCCTTAAACCTTGAGTGTTCTGTCTCTGTCTCGCCTCTGCCAGACTAAGATGAAGCAGTTGGAGCAGGAGGCCCACAGAGCAGCAGGACAAATATTCCTGGTCACCAGCAACACTCAGCTTCGAACAGTGTGTATACTTTCACGTGCACATATTTGGATCACGTGTATCCTGTGTATATCCATTCTCTTGATACCGAACCAGTTTCTAGTGCAGAGAAAGTGTATGAACTGTTTACCTCTTCTTCTGTGTTGTGTTTGTATTTGTACTCTGTGCCTGTGTATGTTTCTCACTTTGTTTTTTTCAGTGTTTGTTTCACTGTTATGGATTTGTGGATATTGTGGCTTCACATTGTTTGAAGGTTTTGTTTGAGAAGCTGCGGCTCCATGAGCGCTGCGAGAACAAGAAACTTCCCAAGACCATCAACAAACAGCAGCAGTCGACATCAGAAGCCGCAGTATGACAGACACACACACACACACACACACACACACACACACACACACAACACACGTCAGTTTGATCCTCAAATCTCAGATGTTTCATCTAAGACCAGCTCAGTCTAATTAGAAGTTTCAGTATGTGCACAGACACATTCACAAAGATTAATCCAAAGGGAAACAAGCACATAAACACTCTCACTTCATATCTTGGCACACCATTATTTCTTAGCATTTGCTAAACAGTACATTAAGAACCCGTAAATCCGGAGATACACCAGCATCTTGCCAATCCATTATATATTTGCAGTTTCAATTGAACATTACAGAAGGACAGAAGAATTTCATATAGAGTGAAAAGGACAAAATACAGCAGATTTGCCACAAAATAATATCCAGGGACAGGATTGTGTTAGACCTTCGTTTGAATTTCCTACTGAGCTCTTAAATTAACAATCTTTTCATATTCATGACTCTGACTCATTTTGTTGTAGTTGTTGCAGCTTCAGGACCTGCATCCTCTTCCAAAGATCATTCTGGAGTACAGACAGGTGAGTCATGTTTTACCTGCTTTTCATTCACGTGTCAGATTGTTTAAAAAGGGGTTTCTTTGCTCATTCATCCCACAGTCTTATCCAGATCACTTGTGAGATAGCTAGTGGGTGTAACAATTGATTCTAACACCTACCCTTGCTGTTACTACTAAAATGTCTCTATTTTTACCCCTAGATTCACAAGATCAAGTCCACTTTTGTTGATGGGATTCTCTCATGCATGATGAGTAAGGTAAGTCTGCAGCTAGTATCAGACAGTTTTACAGCAAAGCTGTGAATGGAATATCTAAAATATCAAAAATATTAATAAGGCACTCTCTCTCAAAAAGTCTACCAAACAGGATATTTCACAATTTTGTATCCCTCTACTGTTCGCTGGGAGATTTGTATTTCTTTCATCTTTCCGTCTTGTGGCTGAAACAGCGAAAAACAAGACGATCAGATCAAAACTTGAGTGTTCGCTGCAGGCAACACGGTCTCAAAAAGATCCCACAGCTTTTGGTTTTCTTTGCTTACAGTTTGGTTCTGCATTACTACACAAGAACGGTGCTAGTGTGTTCCCAGATAAACCCATCTTGCTGTATCGAATTGGCAGAGAAGATTTTCGCACAATGTCTGGTTGTTTCGAAAGGGTGCAGCAGCTTGTGTTTGTCAATCTGTGCTTACTCAACTCTGTAAATGAGCCTGTCTGGTGATCCTGAGACCTGTTTGGCTTCTGATGGTGGTGATTCATTTGGTGCCGGAGTGTTTTTAGGGTGCAGATGAAAAAAACACATACAACAATTACTCATAACCTAGATATTAAACATATGTTGTTTCATTTTTGTATTAAAAAGTGATAAAGTGACTCTGCCTCTAACTCTGTTTACACTGCAATCTTCCTCCGAGGGTCAATTTATTTTCTACAGCACAGTTTCATAACATAGTTTCCCAGTTGTCAGGTTCATACGTTTGTCTGCAACCAGATGTCTCTATTACATCACATCAGCAGCCCGGAGCACAGTAGTGTTGTCTCAGGACCTGCCAATTGCACCAATGTAACTGGCTCCACGGTCTGTAAACAGCCTGATCAAACTGGGCCTCAGGCTGTCGCATGGCACTGCTGATGCCTGCCGGTCCGAGGAGCTGTTTCCAGGCTGAAGTGGACGAGACTCAGCTGTATGAAAACAAACTGATCACACAGCTGACTCTCTGAAATATATTCTGAGAGAAAATTATACTTGTGGTAGGCGAAATTGCAAACATTTTTATTTTTTTGGCCTCAAAATGCAGTGTAAGTCTCTATCTGATTTATTTGTATCTGATTCTGTCTCTCTCAACAACCCATCAGAACTACATTTCCTCAGCGTGGTACCAGACGAGCGTTGTGACTGGGAGAATCTCGGCAAAACACCCAGTAAGTATAGCCTGTCTTCCGTTCTTTCACATTACCCTCTGTCCTCATTTCGGAGTCTTTAGCACGTCGTAGAAATTGTTCCCTCGCTCCTTCGGGCTCCAACCCTGCACGTGCTGGAGCTATGGAGCTATCCATGGTGCTGAACCTGAATGGGAAGTGGGTGCTGTTTGGCATCTTGCAAACCAAGTTCAAAACTCAAAACACTGTTAACGACACACTTTTGCAAATGGAAAATGTCTTAACACTAAATATAAATCTACTCTCCAATTTAAAATCAGGTAACAACAGCTCATGACAGGAACCGAGAATCAGTTCCGTGAAAACTGGACTTTAATCACTTGCGATTTTACGTATTCAGGGACAAAAAAACCTTTGGCTTGAACTAAGTGTACTGAGTTTTGAGGTGTGTTGTGTTTCATCCACGCATAACATCTGCTTGAGTTGGATTCCAACAAAACAGAAGGAGGCTGTCTGGGTTTGTATGAAACATTTCATTGTGTTCTTTCTTTCTCCACATTCTTTGCCAGCTTTTTTTTTTTTTTTTTTTTTTTTTTTCCTGGCTTTGTGCATATGAAGGACACCCTGAAAGGAACTCGCTTTATAGTCATTAGAAACACATGAACACACATATTCCTAAATTATTGACTTGAGAATTGGCATGAAAACAGATGTTTTTAGAGGGAGGAAACTTGTTTGTGTGTGTGAGAGAGTCTGTGTGCTTTAGAATCATTAAAAGTTTTAGGATGGTATACAGGGCACATTATGGAGCAACTACCACATTCCCAGTTTATTACACTTCCAGACACAATGTGCTACAGAATACATAGATCAAGAACAGACAAACAAATGCTTTGTCTCTTTTGTACTTGTCAACTTGGATTTCACCTTCTTCCTTACTACCTCTCCCGCTCCCTGTCCCCTCGGTGTGGGGCGGTCGATAGCTCATTTCAACGTTGCCTTGTTGTCAGGGTCCAGAGGTTCTGTCTCTAAATACTGCTCACACACACACACACACACACACACACACACAGCTGTGGAGACAACTTTTCTAATCTCACATAGATTGGGGGCCGGTGTGAGCTACACAGTAAATTGATCATGCTGCTGCTAAATGATATATGACTGTTGGGCAGCTGTAATTTAACTCAGCTCTGTCCCCTCTGCTTTAATACAGGTCTGGGATTTGGCTGAGCTTCATCCCGTTTAGTGTTTATGTGTTAGTGTGGATGGCAGTTGGGTAATGTGCCATAGTTTTAATTTGTTCACAATGGAAGTGATACATAAAACAATTAAAGAGAGTCAGCTCCATATGGATATGATAGTTCTGTTTTTTATTTAGAATCTTGTTATTCTTGTTGTAAAGCTTAAGCAAAGACAGAATAAGATTCACCTCCAAAGTCAGATTACTAACCACAATTTAGAGAAATCATCTGTAGAGGGTTAGACTTTATAAACCTTTATATATGATTAACATCATGGGACAAAATAACTTGCCTGACTGATTTATTGCTTGATTGACATGAAAAGATAATTTCAGCATTAGTGATCCAGAAGAGAGAGGAGCTCCCTCCAGCCCTTTTCCCTTTCCTCAAATAAAATAATTATTCCAGCATATAAATGAAGTTCACTCATAATTATTCTCATCGTAATGTGGAGTCGTGGAATGTGCTCATAGTTCATTTTCCCTCAGTGATCACCCTCATGTCACATTCTGTTGCTTTGTTGGAAAAAGCTGCAGATTATTCAATAGTTTTTCGTTCAGGGAGAAAAGGGAGCTGCTCTGCCACTTGTACAGTTCGCATGCACGTACATATTATAATGAGCCGTGGATGTGGTTTAGCTTTCATCTGTGGGTTCAGTCAAGGTGAAGCCAGACTGCAGCAACAAAGGGGAGCCTGAATTAAAACAGGACAGCCATACAACTGGTGCTGAGTTTAAAGCACTGCATGCAGTGAGTCTCACTGCAGAGGGATGTGGGGGGGTTCTCTCCTCTGCCTCATCTGTTTTTATCTTCTAAAAGCAAAAATCTGAGCAGCCTGCAAGCCTCAGCTTCCTTTTCTCCATCTCCAGTGTTTCCATCTCTGTCTGTTCTTTGCTTCTCCCTTTTTATTGTCATATTCTGTTTGTTTTTTCTCAATCCTCCCTCACTATTAAATTCTCTATTTTTCTTTCTCAATTTTTACTTCTCTATGTACATACCCATGTCTTTCTTGTTCTCTCATTTTCAGTGTGCTTTATTTCTTTCCGCTCTTTCCCTCATATACACATTCTCACAAATTAACAGTTGAAATGTTCCGATACTGTTTGTCCCTTCTCAATACTGATACGCTACCTGGACTTTGCGTAGCGGCCGATACCAGTGCCTTTAAAAAGAGAACTGATATATATTACTTATATAAAGTATTTCAACATGCTACTTGACATGTATGACAGTGATGATTGCTATCATTGTTGTATGACCTGGTTCAAGGTCAAATCTTTGAAAATACAAATAAATAGTGTGCAGTTTTACTTGTGCAACCTCCCAGCATGAAACATTACCAAATTGTTGCCGTTTGAGCTAGTTTACGACTGGAAATCACAAAGGCTGTTTTGAAGCAGCGATGCAGAAGATATTCTGTGAGGAAAGAAAATTGCCTTTTTATCTGGTTGAACCTAATATACTTTAAAGATGTGGTATCGGATCAATACAGAGATTTATGCACACACAGATGCTGGACCCGGCAGTATCGGAGGCATTTCCAGCGCTGATATCAGTGTCGGAACATCTCTAATTAACACTGTTAACAGTGTAATAGTTAATCCAAGTGATTCAAATAAGAGTGAACTTCCTCCCTCTATACCTCCATGTTGGTTCACTCAGATTTCTGGGTCCTTCATGCAGTACACCACTATGTATCATCTGCTCTGTGTCGTCTCTCTCTCTCCGCTTAGCTTGTGCCTGAGTCCTTTATGGCGCTCGAAGATTTATACACTCATGCCATCCACAAATGCACCAAACTCAATCACTCCCTCATGCAAATACACAGAGAACAGATGGAAACATGTGATGGGGCTGTCAGTTTCAGATTTATGACAAACTATTTTTTTCTGGTCATTATTTCTTTCCTTAACACATTTTTCTTGTGTCCACATGTTTTCACAGTGCGACTCATTAAAATCTCATAATTCAACTTAGGGAATTCTGCCTCTAGATTCAGAGCACATTTACCTCTCTCCATCATTTAACCGCTGTCTAGAGTTACAACAACTCTCCACTGATTGAATTTCTCTCATATCGTGTCCAAAAATATTTGATATGGCAAAGAGCTTTTTGTGCCTCTTCCCAAACTGCGAGCTGAGCTTCCTTTACGGCTTCTCAAGCACTTTTATGCTGGTTTAGGATTACTTTGCATTTAGTCATTAAATGTTTTTCACTCACACAAAGCCCTCCCAGGCTGATCTAAGCACTTCACTGAAGAGTGTGTCATGTTCTCTGCTGACTCACTGGCAGTGTTGAACACACTGTAGTGCATACACACAACTGAAAACACAGAAAGGGACACATTCTTTTATACATATATGCATTTACAATATATATGCATATATTCATCATTTAATTTATCACTGTGTGAGCAGGAAACCCTTTCCCCTCTGGGTCTCAGTGCCTTCCAGTCGGTCACCTCAACAACTAATGGAAATGCTGGTTGTGGACTTTGTGGCTGCGTGCAGATCTCTCTACACTCTGCCCAGATGCGTTTTGTGGTTGCAGCGTAAATGGATATAACGTTATAGTTTGTGTGTCTGTTTGTATGTGGACACAAACAGGGAGTGTGCATAAAGACATCCATGTGTATTTGTAGTACGTGTGCATGTGTTCTGTCATTAAATTGGTGCAGCGTGATTAAATTACCCCACACCAGTTCGGAGATTCAGTCGTCCCCATCTGTTTAACAAGGCATTACTCCTCTGAGACTCGCTCTGTATCTCTGTGGGACAGATTTACACTCATGTAAGCACAGGGTAAATTTGCAGTGTGGATTTTATTCAACTTGTGCTAACACTCGGTGTGTAATTATTGGCAGATGCACTAATATATTAGTGTGAATCACTGATCAGTCCATCACTTATGATGCATGCACAGTATAATCCTGAGTCAGGAGAACGATAAGGCACACCCATGTTGTAGGAAGCAGCTCAGACCCTTTATTCACTCATGGATGTGGCTCCTGGGGAAGACCTGCCAGGGTAAAACAGTAGCTCATTAAAAAATCAGCACCTGCTGGGACTCCCAGCTGCAGTTCACTGGTGGAAATAACTTAGAGATTTCAAATCATTTACATAAACCACAGAGCAACTTTGAGAAAATACTTCTGCAGGTTTTAAAATCAACAAATTGAGTGTTGGTGCATCTTTGAAACCAATATATCAAACTAAAGATGTCCCCAAATCCACTTGTACTCAATCCCTCATACACAATATCACACACAGCCGACACATCCGTATCAGAAATCTTTCAGCGTATCAGCCCCTAAAAATCTGTAACTTTAACCACTGTGAATATTTCATCCAATGCTAACCCAGAAACATGAATTCCTGAGTCAACAGCACTAACAGGTGCTTTGTCATTGTCAGGCTCTTGTTGGGAAAATTACCAGGCTATTTTATTCCCATATTTGCACATGAGGAGGACATTAAAGAATACGAACAGCGGGTTGTTATGGAGAATAAGAAATGATGCTGCTGTCCGCGGTCTGAGTCATGGAGAAAAAACAACAGAGAAAACAAGCTCATCTGCATGATTCAGTGGCCCATTCAGAGTCAATGAGCCTGGGAGAGGGAAACACAAGTGTGTCGGGATGTTCGGCACACAATGGCTCAGGCACATTTTCAAGCTGTGTGTCAGTGTGTGTTTGTCTTGTGTCTGACAGTGCAGGAATATTTATGTTGTGTGTGTTTTTTTTATGTGTGCAGTACACAAGTATTTGTGTCAGCTCGCTATAATTCATGCACGTTGATGT